CCACCTGCCTCTGCAGCCGCCGGCTGGGACTGGGCGGGGGCGGGGGAGCTCTGCGTGCCTCTTGAGCTCTCTTCAGTTCGCCACCTCCTGCTCCCCGCAACCTTCTGGAGCGCTGCTCCCGCCTCAGTGGGCAACTGAGAGGAGGCGCCTGCCAGGGAGCTGGCCCAGGCTGCCCCACCGCCATCCCCAGTTGGAGGACTTAGGCCCCAGCCGGCACCTGCCAGGAGTTTTGACCTTAAGCTCTAGCCCCGCCCGCCCCCTTTGGGAAGAGAGGTCGGGCGGGGGCGGGGGTTGGGGGAGCGACCTAACCGGGTGAAGCCGGGTCTTCCCGGGGACGCTTCCACCCAGCGTAAGGGTGGGCGGATGGGGATGGGGAGGTGTCCGGTTTGGAGGGGGTGGTCAGGACTCCAGGATTCCGTGGGAGACCGCTGGAGAGAGGGCACTTGGCTCAGGGGAAGGCATCGTGGGGTGTGCTTTTTGACAGGTGCCTTGGAAGCTGCTGAGAACAGCACAGGGGCAGCCAGGGGGCCGTGGAACCCGAGGGTGGGGAGGAAGTGAAGAAGCGGGGGAGGGCAGATGAGGGAGACTGGTTATCCAAGAATCTGGCAGCAACTTGGAAGCTGTTAGGATGGAGATGGAGGTGAGAGGCCCCGGAAAGCCCTGCCCCTCGCCTCTTTCTCCTCCCTTTCTTCCCTGGTCGGGGGAGGGGGCGGCGAGGCTCCTCAGCCCTGCACCAGCGGGACCTGACCTTGGTGGGTACCAGGCCGCTGTAGGTTGAGATGGTGTGCAGAGGCAGGTGGAGCCTGAGATGGCTCGGTGTGGCTCTTACCTCTCCAGACTTTCTCCTGGTTGGTTGGCATTTCTTTGCTCACATGCTACACGTACAGATACATACACCCTCTCCATGTGTGTCCTGGAGTCCCCGGACCACGGTGTTGCTGACACGGTCTGTGGGCAGTGTCTTGGGGAATGTGGACTTTAAACGTGTCTGTGACCTTGGGGGTCAGGTCCCTGTAAAGCAACCAAGGTGAATTTCTTGCACTCTTCATCTTGTGTGGTTGGGGTGGAGGTGTCCCAGAAGTGTATGTAGCAAGATGTGAGTTAAAAAAAGAAAATAAGCAGAAAGAAAATGAGAGTTGAGATTCTCGGTATCTTCTGGGAGCACTTACATTCGTGCATTCATTCATTCATTCATTCATTCATTCATTCATTCAGCACTTCCTGGATGTCTCCTCTACACTCAGCACCATGCTGAATGTCTCATGAATGTAATCTGGAAGGTAAATATTTAGTGCTAGAGAGCATCTCTTAGGTAAGCTACCTCAACCTCTGAGCCTCAGTTTCCCTGTTTGTCAGATGTGGGAGGCCCACCATTTCCCTGAATTTAAAAGGTTTGCTTGGAAGGGAATATTGGGTTGCTTAAAAGTTGGAAGGGATGTAGATCAGAGCCCAACTCCCATTTGAAACATAAGAGAAAATTTGAAGCCCAGAGGTGTGATTTGCTCAAATATTTTTATTTTTCTGCCATTCTGCATACCAGTTCTTCACCAGCTCTGAAGTGCTAACCTTCAAACTTGTCACCCTGACACGCTGCTTCCCTACCCCTACTCAGGTCAGTTGCCGGCTCTGTTACTGTGTTGGTGCACTTGGCAGCATCTTTTCTCTTGTCCTTTTCTCAGAGCAGACACAAGTTCAAGCGTATGTGACCTGCCCCACTTTAGGTCCCTGTAGTTTACTGAGGCCTGTGTGCTGTTAGCAATTGGACATCCTGTTGGAGGGAAAGGACCGCCCCTGCCAACACTGATAATCATGCATCTGGGGACTTCTAATACAGCAATAGGAGACTCCTCTCAACAGTAATTCTTTACCCTTGGAAAAGGGCAAGCAAGTAGCTTCTATCAAGAACTGATTGGCTAGAGCACAATCTCCCAAATTTTAGTGTTACATGGACCACCTCCATGATTTTTTTTTGCTATATCCACCTGTGCTATTGCTTACTTACTCCTTGACTTTAGATCAACTCACTTTAAAAATTTGTGTACTATTTTCACAAATGGGAAACTAGCTATATCTATTGTCATAAAGGGGAAACAAAAAAGATAGGCAAAAACAAAAACAAAAAAACAGTGTTAGTATATTTTAGCTAGGTACTGTGGCCAGCCTAAGGCCCCAACGCCTTGCTTGCCCAGCCTTTGTTTTTAAGCAGATTGACAAGCCATGGAGAGGAGGCAGAAACACAGTGGCACTTAGGTGAGCAGCTCACCTTCTTCATCTTGTGTCACTGGTTTTTTTGTTTGTTTGCTTTTGTTTTTTAGTTTGTTTGTTTTTGTTTTTTGGAGACAGAGTCTCTCTCTGTCGCCCAGGCTGGAGTGCAGTGGCAAGATCTTGACTCACTGCAACCTCCGCCTCCTGGGTTCAAGCAATTCTCCTGCCTCAACCTCCCCAGTAGCTGGGACTACTGGCGCACGCCACCACGTCCAGCCAATTTTTTGTATTTTAGTAGAGACAGGGTTTCACTGTGTTGCCCAAGCTGGTCTTGAACTCCTGAGCTCAGGCAATCCGCCCACCTCAGCCTCCCAAAGTGCTAGGATTACAGGTGTGAGCCACCACACTTGGCCTTGTGTCACTGGTTTCGAAGCTTCATCTCTGTACCTCCTTGTCATCCCACCTGCACTGGGCTGGTGTTGGGCCCCTGAACTTGGGATCCTGTGGGGGGTCTCAGGTCAACTCTGGGGGTCACTATTGTGCTCGTTTTGGAAAAACAACGTACAGCTTTGTACGTTTTGGAAAAGGGCTAATTGGAGGATATGCACTTGTGGTTTTCTGGAATTTCCCTCTGGCATACCCCATTTTTGCCTTTTAGTCCTGTCTGTGTGGCCTTGGGCAAATCGCTTGACCTCTCTGAGGTTTGAGTGCTTGAGAAGTGGGTTGGTTAGATGGTCTTCACGGGCCTGCCAGCTCTTAGATATTATTTCAAACCTTTCTGCCTCTCTTACGTCTCCAGACTCCATGAGAGGAGAAAGGGGAACAGGGATTGGCTATGAGAAAAAGGAAGAAGAAATTTAACAAAGCTGAAAAGAACCAAACTTATTTTGGGGGTGGTGGGTTGGGGAGAAAAAATTCTGCCAAGGTAGTTATATCCCTGCAATTAATTAATGCTGTGAGACAAAAAATTGCACTAAAAATTCCACTCCGTGTGTGTGTATGCGTGCGTGTTTGTTTGCCTTGGATTTTTCCTTACCTGAATCATGGAGATGCCCACCCATTCCCTTGAATTTAAAAGAAGTAAGTCAAATGGTCCTGCGGTCAGAAAAGTGATTTCTTAGCCACCAAGGACAAAATAGCGTCTCTGGTTACCAACCCTAAAGAATGTCTTGGCACATTCCTCCCTCTGGGGCTGAGCTGTTTTGTGTGCTGGCCGGCCAGGAGCTGCTGGGGGTAGGGAATCCAGTTTTCAGCTTCCCCTTTCACCAGGGGGTTGGAAGAGCAGCCAAGCAGCCAGCCTTGCCAACTCTCTCCCCTTCTCACCCAGGGGAAGACTGGGAGGCCGAAATTCCTGAGGATGGTTGTCCCAACAACCGGAGAGGGTCCAGTGGACAGCTTGGGTCCTGCCCACTGGGCCAAAGGCTCCAGCAGCACCACAGGCTTTTCCTGAGTCAAGGCCAGACTGGGAAGGTGACAGGCCCTTCCGGAATCAGGTGCTGTGGATCAGGTCTGAACAGCACCTTGGAGCCATGCTCCTTTTGCGGAGTAACTCCGGGTGCTTTTGTGGGCTCCCAGAAAAGGGGCCAGTGTCCTGTGTATTTCACTTCGTGGTATGCAAAACAAATGCACCGATTGTTCTCGGAGGAAGAATAGATCTTTGGGGCTGGCCCTCCCAGAGAAGGTTCCTGCAGCCTGATTCCTTCTTTTTGTGCGATTTGTATTCAGACCTTCTCATAGGAACCACCTGGGAATTCTGGGCAGTTTCTGGGACTGTGTGATGAATACCAGAGGCACACATGGCTGGAGAGGCCATGCTGAGAGGATCCAGCAATTTCTCCCACGACTTGAGGATCTTTTGCTAACCCTGTTATTTGAGAAATAATATATATGGTAGGAAGTCAGGTCTACAGCAGTCAAAAAGTCTTAACCTCTGTCAGGTCACAGACCCTTATGAGACTGATAAAGGTTCAGAACTCTTCCTAGAGAAAAGGTTTTTAAATAATTTCAGGGACCTCCTGGACCCCAGGTTCATAACTCCTGCCATAGATAAGCTTGGAAATTGCTTGCCACCATCAAAAGCCCTCCTATTTAGCTAGGTAGCAAATAATGATTGGGTATTTACTATATTCAGGCAGTCTGCTGACAGCTTTATGTGGGCTATCTCTTTAAATCCTCCTAACAACCCTGGGACTAGGTACAACTATTACCTACCTGAATTACCCAATGCTCAGGGAGGCTTGGTAAAGCCCCTCAACCTTTGTGGAGCTGAGATGTGAATACTAGGCAGGCTCACGCCAGAACACACATTACTAACCACTGTCTCATTTTACTTCCTGCTGAGTTACCTGCAGAATCAAGACCGCTGCTCCAGTGCCTAAGGAATTTGGCCTTGGGAAATGGAGCTAAGACAGGCATGATTTCACTTACTTGTGACCATTCTGGTGTGGCCAGGTCATGGGCACCTAGAGGGCAAATGTGGGTAAGTGAGTCTTTGGCTCCTGGAATCTTGGATCTGCCACTTGCTACCTGAGTTACCTTGGTAATTGACATAATCTCCCTGAACCTTGGGTTTGTCTTCTAATGAATGGGGAGATGTCCATTAACCATCAAGGGTAGTTATGGGTGATAAGTAAGTGAAGGTAGGTAGGGCAGCAAGCATTAAGTCTGACGTGCAGGGGACACTCAGGAATGCCAGTTCCTTTAACTTTTACTAGAAAGTACCTGTGAAACACCAGCATCAAATGGAGCCTGCATATCTACCCAATTTTG